TCGGGTCAGCCATCTTGAATTTGTGAAGACGACCAAGCTTCTGAGGAAAGTGTGCTTAGGTTTGAAAATCCCTACGGTTTTTTTCACAGCAAACAAGTGATGAGGTACGAAATTGTGGAAAAGAATTTCCACACGCGCGTCGACATGAGTAACACAATTTCTACGTAATTTCTCACAAACAAAATCGCGAGGAGAACCGCGTGACACTTCGTCTTGAAGTCTAAGTCCATCTTCGCTCTCTCTGATCTCGTTACGTTTTTCTCTGATTTCCAGACGCAGACTATGCTACTGATGTGCTGAGGCACTTCGCTTTACCTGACGGGGTGGGGTGACAGCAATGCACTTTGGCGAGCTTCTGAACTACTTTGCTGAGGGAGGGAACTTTTGCTCTGCTCAGTGAGCTACTCTGATCTCAACAGCGTGTCTGCTTTTACATGGTGTCTGGTGCTTGAACATGCTATCGACGATTGTCGTGAAGGCTTGGATCTCACTGCCAGCGTGGCTCAATGCCGCTGGGATGCGACTTGTAATTTTTCAACAAAAACCGTCAACCACTAGTGTCCTTTTCCAATCTGTTACAAGCCTGCAAACTGTAGCGGGACAAACATGTCCTTCGATATGTACGGCATGGATCTAATGTAGTGCATGAGCATGGAAAGCTCGCTCCACCTGCAGTGGATTACTACCTTGATGGGGTCCACCTTGTTCAGATACAAGTGTGTGGCGGCCCCTATCCGCCAGCTGTGCGTTGCTGTATCTTTTTCGTCGAAATTTCTCATAATGGTGGCTACACACAAGTCTTTCTCTTCTAACTGGCACCACAGGTGCTTGAATCTGCACACACAGAAGCACTTTGGCACTCCTATTGTCTCGAGCTGCTTGCACACGCACAGCACTCGCACTACTGAGTACACATTGACCTTGGTCGAGGCTTCCTGAAAATTCAGGAGCAAGTCGTCTCCGTCGTGCCGCAGCCTGATTTTGTTCTTTTCGCCCGTTTGCCGTATGTCCAACAACTTCACCTCGCTCTTCCTGAGCGCCGCGTACCACGTGACAAGCAGGACCATGGCCTGTCTGTCGTCTATTTTCTTGCCTGACCAGTACTTGTAGATGTGGCAGATGGTCATCGGTGCTATCTGCAACTTCCTGCCGAGGTGTCCTCTCCTCACAAGCGTGGCGAGCTCCTTGCGCGCCACGTCTTTTTCTTCATCCAACATCACACACCTCGTATCTGCCAACACGTCCGTGGTCGCTTGCTTTATGCTGGAGTACCCAGCGGCCAAGCTGACACCGATGAAAGCCCGTATGGACTCCACCGTCCAGATCCGCTGCGGTAACTCGCTTGCGATTTTCAAGTACCTCGAGACCCTCGAGTCTCGATTGTCGTCCGCTTTTTTCGTCGAGGACATCGACGCAAACTCGTCCATGGCGTTCTTCAACTGCCACGGGTCCTTGGCAATTTCCAATGCCAGACTCATCTTGCTCCTGGCGACCGTCCTGTCTTTCTCGCACCTGGCTGCGAACACGTCGTCGACTGACGCCTGCGCACTGCGCATCTTGTCCAGAAGCAAGTCTTTGCTGACATTCGGCGTGCAGCTGGCTCTTGCAAACGGGTCGTCCTTCCTCTGCGTGAAGAACTCCACCTTGCTGCCTACGCGTCTTTCGATGAGCCGGAACTTCCCCAGGTCGCTAGCAAGCTGCATGGCTTGCGCCTGGTTGCCGTGCAACGCACCGAGTTCTGCACTTACCAGCTTCCCGCTGGCTAAATCGTGGGAAAACAGATTTTTCGGTAGCGTCTCGCTATCCTTCAAGAACTGCGCTGGCAGTTTGCCATCCTGCCGCAGACACTCCCTGGTGGCTGCTTCCGCTTTCTTCTCACCAAACGCTTCGACTAGCTTGTCGCACGACGACAGGTTCTCACTGGCCTTGCTGTCGCTGTCACTTTGCAGCGACTGCCACCATGTCTCCTCCTCGTCATCCATGGAGTGGGCGGGCGGGAAAAGAAAACCACGCTCGTACAGAGCGGCTCTACGGTCCTGCTACCCTTGAGGTACACGTGTCACCCAGACGAGGCGCTTACCGCGCCGCAAGGAGGATTTGCGGAGTATTTGCGGACGCCCGCAAATAAAGCCGAGATCTCGTCCCTCGCCTACGCATTTTATTTGCGTGCTGTCCTTACTACTACGGTGCTTACAGCTAACTAGTAGAGCTGGTTACTGAGTACGACCTCTTGTCCCATGCGCAATCGCGATGCGCGGGAGCTGTACGAAGCTCAGCTGCAGCGCTCGGGCTGCCATACGATCACGGATCGTGCACACGAGCACGAGAACGAGAGCGACGAGGTGCGTGTGGCCCTTTTTCCACCATCGCTCTCCAGGAGAGGGCGCCGGCCGAGGCGCAACAGGCCACCGCACCCACCACGCTCGACGCCGAGTGCGCTGGGACAACGTATGCTTTCTCACTGCTTGCACTGATACTGCCGCCTGACTGGGCGCGCAGTCACTCTCTGAGTGTACTCTCTGTGCGCAACCTTGCGCTGGGACTTCGCTGCTCTCAGCGTAGCTCCCTCCTTTGGCTGCTGGCGTCCTGCAGGCACGCCTTCACTGGCTTATGCCGCAGTAAAACGAAAACATGACGGCGCGAAGCACTGCCGCCCGACGAGTCGGTCGACAGAGCTCCACGCGCGACACCGTCCCAAGACGCGCGAACGCGCCTCGAAACGGAGCGCACTGAAGAGGAGCGCATCACCTGCGAGGTGAGCCCCACCTGGATGGGGAGCGACCGGCTCGCGAAGCGACAGCGCTGGCGCCGTAATCAGCAACCTGGGCTACCTACATCCCTCCTTGCGCATGCTGCTGGGTGGTAGCCGACCGTGTATACTCTGGCAATGCGGCTCCGTCGTGCTCTTACTGGCACGGCCGCGATGCTCTCTGACATGCTCTCAGGCTTGAGGCAACTCTTAACAAACTCTCACCCTGTGCTTACTATGGCACTGACACTGGCTCTTTTGACTGTGAGCCGAGCACCTGACTGGCCTACGTGGCCTCGCACCTCCGAACTGTGAACCCATACTAGCAAACCAATGTCGACCGAAGCGACTACAGCCTACAAGGCTGGGAGGCGCGAAATCTGCAGTGGGCACGGACGATCAGCTCCGTGAGACCGAAAGAAAACCACGCTCGTGCAGAGCGGTTCTACGGTCCTGCTACCCTTGGGGTACACGTGTCACCCAGACGAGGCGCTTACCGCGCCGCAAGGAGGATTTGCGGAGTATTTGCGGACGCCCGCAAATAAAGCCGAGATCTCGTCCATCGCCTACGCATTTCGGCCGAAAACGCGTCGGCGGTCCAAAGTCTGATGAAAAATGCTGCAAAAAACAGGAATCCTTATGGTTTTGCATTTTCTTTCCATTGGACGGATTCAATTACCCATATAATTAGGCACTTTTCACAGATTCCCAAAAATCATAAAAATTAGAAAAATGAATAACCTTCTGAATGTGCATCATATTCCATCTAAAAATGGGCAAAATTGAGGCCAGCTGTATGATTCTGCGGCATTATTTTGCTTATGCACATACGCCAGTGCAATTTTCTTGATTTCGTAAATATTTTCGAAAATCGAAAAAAAACAAAAATTTTCCAGATGACTCAGATGCCAGAAAATTTACCCTATATGTAAACGAGCAAGCCTCTTGCTTAACATCATATCCATAGTAATGATTTTTCTTTCATTGTGCTCTTTAGTTTACACATTTTCCCCAATTTTAAAAATTTTTGAAATTTGTGAAAAATTTTCACTCTGTTAATTTTTCGATTTTATCATCGAAAAAGTGGACAGAAAAAGGAAGACTAGATACATTAGGGCTTGAATGTGCAGCATTACCCTAAAAATGTTGAAAGGGCTCAGCTATTTTTTTGGTTGTCAACATTCTGAAAAAATTTGAAAAATCAACTGGATAAAAAATGAGGCTGATAATGGGCTGAATACATTACCGGTCTAAAAGTTCTGGCTTTTTACCTGTGTTTTTTTTGCTGTACGCTTTAAATCTGGGCTGTTATATTGTTTTTATTGGATTTTATGGAATTTTAAAAAAATTGCAAAAATTCCCGGACGCTGATTATCCCTTTAAAAGTGAGATACAAAAAGAAGGGAACGTGTTTTGTTAGTGTATTTTGTTACTATTCTCATTCACCGGAGCCCATGAGGTCCATGCATACACGATTTAGGCACTTTTGAAAAATCGAAAAAAAAACTATTGGGAATACCCTGCCCGAAGGCCAGGCTCGGGAGCCCGATTCCGGTGGCTAGCATCGGGCACCCTGCCTATGCGTTTCCGCGATCTTCATATCGCTTTTACTAGGCCAAATCCGGGTGAGTAGCTCCATTACCAGGGTGGAATTACCAGGGTGGACCGCATAGGCCCGGGCGACCAGATTCTGGAGCCCGGCCTAAAGTTCCGGCGTGCGACGCGATTGCCATGTGGCCCATTGTAAGCGGCGCACGGCACTGCCTCGTGTGTCTTTGCCGCGCCGACCGCGGGTGCTGCCGCCGTGCTGCACGGAACGGAGACCCCCGTGTCGGGGGCGCTTACTAAGAGGCCCAAGCCGTCCCAGCCGCCAAGCGGCGCAAGCCCGTTAGGGGGCGCGCGCCCTGCAAAACATTTGCGGGCGCTGCCAGCGTGCGGGAGTCTCGCCAAGGATGCGAAGCGCCGCCCGTCCGCCCCTACTCTGCCCCCGCAGGTCAAGCAGGGGTGGCGCGTTCTTGTTTTACAGAGGCGCGGGCGGTGCTCCTTCATTCTACCGCGAGCACCCTGCCGCCGCTCCGATTGTACGGTCTCCGCGGCGCGGCGTCATCACGGCGCCCCTGTTCATCCCGACCCCGCGCCACCTGCGCTCCGCGTTGGCCTTCTCCCCACCGGGAGTGGGGGAAAAACAAAAAGAGGCGGCCGCGCTGCCGCGTTCTTTCTGGATTGCCGCTCGCACTCAAACTATCTAGCGCCGCGGCCGCCTTTCTGCGCGTCCGGACATGCAACTCACTCCGCGTGCCCGCCCTCGCGGCGCGGCATCCTTCCCCGGCCGGGGAAGCCAAGGAGGGCGGCGCCAACGATTCTATCGCGCACCCGACTGCTCCTGATTATGTACCGCGGAACGGAAGCGGGCTACATCTTGCGCGGGCACCACGAGCTGCCGGTGCTGGCGGGCGCAGTCGTCTTCCTCCTGCTGTCGTCGCGCTTGCTCTTTTTGTGCGACTCCGGCAAGGATGACACACAGACGGCGCAAGCAGTGCAGGGGATCTACATCGCACCCGCGGGCAGTGCCGTGGCCGGAGGAGCAGCGGCGGGCTTGCCGAGTACTACTGGTTTTGAGAATGTTGTGGTTCTTTTTTTTTTCCAGAAGATTGCTGAATGAATCACGATAAGTCGCGGGCGCGAGAACAATCCCGATATCAACAAGAATCTGAATTGCGTGATGGAAAAAAAAATCGAAAAATAACAAGGCACCGTTACCGATCTCGAGCAAGCGTACGCCAGCCTGTACAACATGAGCGGGACGCTGACAACCACGACAACCAGTGGCTTCCTATCCACTGCAAATCTAATGTCCGGGTCGGGAAAATATTACTGCACGACTTCTATTGCTGAACTCGCATACTACTCCTCAGCGCTGCAATGCATGTTGCGGAAGAACGCTGCATGTTCATTGTCATGCAAAGACGCAAGCTCTCACGCGATTTAGGTTTTCGCACTAGAAAGTACCGCGGTCAAAAATTTATCATGCGTAGCTCCTGCATACCTCGGTCCGTTTGTGATTCCTTTTTTCGCACGAGTCAGACCCAGACATTTTTGCGTTTGATACTTCCAGCTTGCGTACAACGCTACCAGCACAACGGCGACAACGACTCCCCTCGACCTTCTCGCGGCCGTGAATGACGCGCTGGCGCAGTTGCAGGCGGCAACGGGGGGTGGCAGCCGGCGGGGATTGGAAAGTAGTTCTACTGCGTGGTCCGAACGAGTAGAGGACGGCGCGGCTGCGAGAATAGTACCCAGCGACCAAGAAAGCAGCCTGATCGTTCCGAAGAAGACGGATTTTGAAGCGAATGTCGCGGAAGCACAACTAGATCCTTCGTGCGCACCAGAAGAAAACAAGAACTCGGGCGCGAAAATAGTCGCAGGAGCCGGACGAGTGTTCTTTGCCGTGAAGGAGCCGGCAGCTACTTCCGCAGCATCACAGGAACAAGAGGAAGCAGGATCACAGGAAGCATCTTCCCGTGGTCTTCTTCATCTGCAGCAGAGAAGATCCTTGTCCATGATTTCCAGTGCGGATACGCCCGCGGAGGTGGTGCGACGGGCCCTGCCGCAACTGGAGTATCACACGCTTTGGAACACGGCGGTCTGCCTCGGGATCACGCTCGTGACGTTCGTCTTTCTCGCGCTGCCCATGCTACTCCTGCCGACCGAACAGATGGACAGCAGCGTGAACAACATTTGGACCGTGGTGCAGTGGGCCGTCCTGTTTCTTCCGCTCGCCTACGGCTGCAACTACTCCATCCTCCACGGTTTCCGCCGGGGATCGAGCGTCTCGCTGACGTACCTGTTTAGCTACGGGGCGGGGTTCGTGGAATACCTGCTGTGCATCTTGATTTCCACCAGCATTCTCTTCTTGCGCATTGTTCTCGCGGAGAAGCACAGCTTCGTGCTGCAGGCCTGGTTTGTCCGCACGGAACAGAATCAAGCATTGGCCGCGATGCGTGCACAAATCGAGGGCGCGCAACTGCTGGCGTACTCGCAGGGCAGGCAGCAAGCGGAGCGCGACTTCCAGGCTGCGCAGGAAATTGAGTTGCAAAGGTAGTGGTACATTGGTCAGGATAGATTTACTTTTTGTGCAGTCCAGCAGGAGCAGCTGCTTGAGACAAAACTCTGTGTTGCGTGAAAGCAGTCCTATCGCATGACAGGTTAGAGCAGCAAGCCGGCACCACCGCGGTCCGAATCGAACCCGCATTGGATAGTCCGACGCGCAACGCGCAACTCGCGATGGATGCGGCCGCGAGGAATAACCGAAAAGCGGAAATCAGCCCCAGTCCGAAGCAAGACATCCCGCGGCCGTCGTCGAAGACAAGTAGCAGCAAGAGAGGTACTGCCTCTTGTTCGCGTTCACACTCAGAGTCTACTCGATGTTTATGACAAAGCCGAGATTTAGCATTTGAGTTGTAGCAGAAGAAGAAGAAAATTCTTCTATACTCTGAAGGCACAGGTCCAGCACATCAAAATGAAATCAACCTGTTTCTTTCTCCTCATGCAGGTGCTAGAAAATCTCCGCCTTCCCCCCCGTCCCGTCGCAACAGTAACGTGGACACGTACATGAGCCGCAGCATGGAAGCGTACTTGGCGCAGAGTGCGGTGAACGACCGAACCACAAATGATCCGGCCGAACAACCCGCGTCGTCGCTGGGACCTCCACGTGTCGAAGACACAACAGTGCAAGGAAATAATAAAACCAATTCCGCGTCGGCGGTTTTTCTCGCAGAAAGCAGCCACTCGGCGGTACCGCCGCCGACCCCGTCCCGCTCCCGCCTGCACCAACCGCCCCCGGCACTGGCCGCTCTCGCGCGGGACGCCGCGGTGGACTGGAGTAGTGCGGGAGTGGATTGGATCCGGAAGCAGAAAACGGCGCTGCTGCTCGCGTTGCTGGAGTGCTGTGTGAAAGTGCAACTGCTGCTTTGGTTTTTGCTCTTCGTCTCCGTCTCGCTACTCCGGGCCTGGTTCCCGGCGCTCCACGACCTGATGACAGCGAGTGACAGCTTGGGGATGCGCAGGAAGAGCGCGCTGGTGGCGCTGTTCGAGGTGACGCTGCTCCTGCTGTACTTCCACCTCTTCTTGCCTTTTTTGGGGTCTTTGCTCACTGTGCAGTGCACGCGGGCGGTCAAGGTAACGAACATATACTTCGACCGCATCGCCGCGGAGGATCTGCGGGCCGGTCGGGCCTTCGCAAGTCACGACCATTTCAACCACCAAGACGCGCGGCTGCTGTTCACGAAAGTGGCCTGTTTTTTGAACTTCATGCTGGACGTGGTCAGGTATAGCGAAGCAGGCTGGATTTGTGATGTGATGTGCATGTGTAGTAGTCTAGGGTGTAGTTTTTCTGGTACAACTAGGATCATGCATCAACACGGGAAGGATAGAACAACCTTAGGTACGTGTGCGGCCGCGCACTGCTGCTCCAGGTCTCCAGCCTGTATTTCCTTCTCTTCCTCGCCCTGATAGACGGGCTGCGAAACCTCGGCGAGTTTGGCGGCAAGTGGCAGGAGGTTCTGATAGTGTTCGGCCGGGACGAAGACTACGACGGGAGCGCCGGTGCGCGGGTACGGCTGTTGCTCCGCATGCTGGACACACTGGGGACGGTGTCGGTTCAGCTGCCGTGGAGTTTATGAGCTGCAAAAGTATCGTACTCGTATAAATGCATTACGAATTTCCTCAGCGTGAGAAATAAAATTTGTAATGCGGATCTACCTTGACAGAAATGCAGGGCTTGCATTTATACGAATACGATACTTTTGCACAGGATAGAGTTTGGAGATCGACTACCGGGTGCTTGCCCTGGAAAACTGGGACCTAATCACCGCTAGATTCGCGGAGACGGTACAGAGGAGAACGAGTGAAGTAGACGCAACAGGAGCGGCGGCAGTAGAGGGGCAGCAGCAACTGCCGGAGAGACCACTGCAAACACCCTCGAGCAAACAAAGTGCACGACCGGGAACAAGAACAAGTAGACAACAAGAAGGTCTTGTTCAAAATGGCGAAATAAACACGAGCGTCGTCGCCCCGCGATCTCCTTCGCCGCAACACATTAATAGCCTTGGTGTTGCAAGTGCAGCTCCACCTTTGGGAGGTGCAGCAGCAACAAGTGCGTCATCCTACCAGGAGCCGCGTTTCCCCCGCCGCTCGGACACGACGGTGAAGCTATCCTTTCTGAACATGAACCTGAAAGTGCGGTCGGTGCCCAAAGCGTTTGAACTCTACCACAAATACGTGTACTTCCAGCACACGGAAAATTTGATTTCCCCCGAGCAGGCGCCGCCCGACACGGCGCACCAAATCGCTGAAGCGACGCTGTCGCCGGTGCACTCGCCGACGAATGGTGCACTCCGAGAAAATAACGGGGAGGCGGGGGAAGTAGAAATGCTGGGCGGTCTCCACCTGGACTCCCCGACCGCCTCTCAGCACCTGCACCTCGACTCCCCGAGCGCGGGCGTGCACCAACCCGCAGAGCACATCCTCGCCGCAGCGATCCGGCAGGACGGCGCGCGGTCGCCGACAACGTCGATGCGACCGGATCCGTTGAGCGAGCTCACCGCGACAGACGCGGCGTTGCTCGCAAGGGCGCAGATGCGGGAGGGGGCGCACAGGAGTGAGGATGAATTGCAGCTCTCAGAGAGAACAACAGACCATGACCGAAGAGGAGAAACAGCGGCAGGAACAACGTATCAAGCTGAAGTATTAACCTCGGAAGATCATGAACATCAAAATCAAATGAAAAGCGGTGGCGCCCGAAATGATCCGAATCCGGGTAGCAGCCCGAGCGAGGTTCTGCTAGTGACCGGCGTGTTGAATTTTGACAATCTTCGCCCCGGCAGCCATTCCTCCTCCTCCGCCAGCAGCGGCAGCACTACCCGGGATTTGATGCCGGGCATGACAAAATATCTCGCGGAGGGCGAGCTCCAAATGGCCGCGGCAACCTCCAGTGCGGAAGAACAAGGGCCGCCGGTCAAGCCAAGTAGGCCGGACTCCTACCGAACTAGAAGAAGCAGAGATGAACACACAGCGAACGAGAATTTTTACCAGGAGAGAGGCTCCTCTTCGAGTACTAGCAAGGACATCAAGAAAGAGCCTCCAGGACCACGTGGTGACGTTTTTGAGAAGGAAAACGAAAAGGACAACAGTCCGGACGCTCCATCCCGCACGTCGTCTCGTCGGTTTAAGCAACTCAGCATCGATATCACACAGAAAAAAGCAGGCAGATCGTATTTGTAATGCAAAAACACACGCGCAAAAAGATCTGCACTGCATGCCTCAAGCAGCATGCTATGGGGCTGTCCATGACAAATTTTTCTGTGTATTTATTTTTGCATTACAAATACGACCTGCCGGCTTTTTTCTCTGGGATAATCGAGGTGGAGGAGTCGCCGAAGCCAAAACAGCCACTGCAGCAGCACCAAGTGAACTTACCCGGCATGGCCGTGATGGGCTACGCGCCGCCAATCGCGGGAGGAGGTAGTGCGCAGGGCAGAGGGCCACCACAACGGGGAGCAGGAGGACAAGCTTTCTCTCTGCACACAGCCGCGGGGCACCAGCAAAGTAGCAGTCCGACACATTTACTGCGACAGAACCAAGCGGTTGTCGCGGTGAACGGATCGGTATCTTCCGTGAAAACGTTCCCATCCTGCAGTCACGATGGCACGAGCTTTGCTACACAAAAGGCAAGAACTTTATTTGGCCGTTGCGCACCATTACAAAAACTTTATTCGGTCGTCTCTAATGTACTACTAGTCGTGGTTAGCATCAGCTCGTTGTGCAGTCGCATCACAAGTCGATGGTCTCATCGTGATTAAATCACGACCAATTTTATCCCGATAGCATTAGCCAAGGAGGTGCTCGATGGAGCTGTGCATGAGAAACATTTTAGGCCTCCACCAGGTCCGCACGACAAAAAATATCGGGTTGGGACGTTTTTCCTGGGGACAGTTGGGCCATTTAGACCCGTCGACGACGGAGTACGTGGTGGGAAAGCCACAACTCGAAAATTGGTACGAGCAAGACCGGCAAAGCGAGTACCAGCACGCTGTGGACAATGTTTTGCTCCAGTGCTTACAAACGGAAATCCAGGAGCAAATTTTGCTGCGGTTCAAATTGCGACTGTCCGCGAAGATTTTTGCTTCGTTGCTCTTCTTCCTGACCCCTCTACTACTCCCGAGCATCGCGCCCGCAACGGGAAAGCACACAGTGTCTCTACCAACCGTGAACTTGGCGAACTTTTTCAAAGTCAGCAACGACCCGTCGGAGTACAGCATGAAGGTGGACGGGGAGACGACAGAAGAAAGGTTGAAGTCGCCTTTTAGCAAGATCGCGTTTGTCGGCGCGCTGGTCTACATGCTGCTGGACTTGTCCGAATGCATGGTTCTCGCGACCATACTATCAACTGTAAAAATGTCTGGGTCTGGAAGAATTCATGTCTGTCATGCTTGTCTGGCATGACTTTTAAATCTGTCATGCACGTTACCCAAGAGCTCCGTTTTTCTGTGATGCAGAAGCGCAGTTTGTCATGCAGAATAGGCAACGCCTAAGATCTCAGAAACTTGTCATGCTGAGCCAGCATTTGTAGCGTCATCATGAGACGCCACCCAGCATCACAAGTTTCCAGACCCAGACATTTTTACTTTTGATACATACCGGTCACCTCCGAAAACGCGAACCACCTCCCGCCCCGGAACCTGAAGGATGTGCTGGCTGCGGGGAAGCAGTTACGCCTTGCGATGCTGAGCTTCTGCGTCTTCGTTGCGGTTTTGTTCTATCACAGCATTGCAAATCCGTTCAATTTAGACTTACTCACGGCGCACGTCGAGAAGTATTCGTTTGGATTGACGGAAGCAGCCCTGCATTTGGACACGGAGGAAAAGCACAAGGACCTCCTGGGGCTGATCCACACCTACTGCAGCAGCGGCTGATAATATTTTCCCAAGGCACAGTGTCAGCTTTTTTTTTGATTTTTTTAAAACTGCCCGCAGCTGCTCTCCACAGTAGCGCCTGCAGGTGCTGCCGCAATTATTGGTAGGCGTGCGAAAGAAATTGCACAAAGGCAAAGAAAGATGCAGGAAAGTTAATAAATCAAAGCAAGAATTGAATCACGTTTTAAGTCGCACGAATCTCAAGTCGCACGAAAGAGTCACGTACTATAGCGCACAAATTGAGTCACGTTTTAAGTCGCACAAATTGAATCACGGTTTAAGTCGCACGAATGGAATCCCGAAGACTACTAAAACACTTGGCGCGCACAGAGCTGCCTAGTCGCAATAGAGGTTGAAACACTTATGAGCTCACTGTCGCGTTTCCCGATTGATGGTCGCTACACAATTTTTTTTCATAACTTTGGAACCTGGTTGAGGTTGTATCTTTCTCCCCAATGCACCCTGTACAATTTCCAATGCGTCGAATGCCTTGTGCAGGCCGAGCTTCCCCCTGAGCTGCACAGATGACGAGTCGACAGAAAGAAAAACGCACTGTACCTACACATTATAGTGGGCTTATAGTGCTTGTAGTGCCACCGAGACGAACAATACACGTATCTATAGAAAGGGCTCTGTGCTGTTAGATCCCGTGGCAAATAAAACAGAAGCGGCACGAAAAAGAAGTACTGATGTTCCAATTTCCAAGAGAAAAGCGAAAGATTTCCTTTCACCAAAGCGCGTCTTGCGAGCCGAAGGATGATTTCCATATCAATCTGACTCAATCTTTGTGGTTCATCCATATCTGTGGTTTATTTTTGTCAACATCTTGTGGCGCTGCTCTTTTGCGAAGCGTTGCCCTTCCAACCCAAACCGAGTTGCTTCAAATTTTATTTTGCCGTTTTTCTTTTTTCACGCTAGCACCGGCGAGCTTTGAGAACGAATAAAAAACCGAAACAACAAATAGGACAAAAGGCGAATTCTCCACATAATTTTCTGCAATTCAAAACCACGACACCACGGCATAAACAAAGTTGCTCTAACACAATTCTGGCTTCTTTTTGACTGCACGACCTTCACACCAATACAAAGCTTTTGCTTCTATTCGGCTGTTTTCGAATTCGATCTGATAGAGGACTTTTGAATAACCTTCTACACTAGCTCTAGCTGGTTTGTCACTTTCTAGTTTCGAAATAATACCTGATCTGACTTTCCGACTTTTTACCCTCTTTTCTGAGTTTTTCGGTTTATTCGGAAACACAAATGGCAACGGTCGGCTCCTCGCCAGCATTTTTTCCGGAAGAGCTATCCAGTGAGTACGCGTCTGTGTCTGGAAAGTTGTGATGCTGCTGTGAGGATGATAAACTTCTACGGAGCTTCGGGGCCACGCGTGACAACTTTTTCAATGACGTCGTCTCTCGTAAACCGCATGGCCTGTGAAGATCGCATTTTTGCATAACAACCAAATGGCTTTGCTCTAGCGCATCATGAGTTCTTCTCACAGACTCTACTCTCCCGTCGTGCTGCACCAGCCACAACAAATGTCATGGAATTATGTCGTGCCAGACCCAGACAAGTATTTGCAAAGCATAAAAGCACCAGAAGGTCGAAACAGCAGCCCCCGACTACGCGTCGGGTTGTAATCACGAACAAAATGTGGTTAAAAAAGAGGCTACGGTATAAGGTTTAGATTGGTCCTCGCTGTTGTTGTGCGATGTCGATGAATTTGATTTTCGTGGTAGTATGTAGTGAGGTCACCGAACGGTTCTAACCGGGGAGTTTTTTTGCCATATACCCTGAAAAACGACCGGCAGTTTTTAAGCGGCGGGAAGCGTTTTTGGACATAAAAAATTTTCAATTATCAAGCAGCTTTGGCTGTGTCGGCACCGAATCGCCAGCGGATTCTATCGATCGCCGCTGGGTAAAACGACGCAGACAAGCCAGCAAAGGGGACGCCCTTCTGAGGCGCCCACCGCCTTAGTTTCTGGCGGTTTGGGGCGCCCAAAAAGGGGCGCGAAAAAAACGCGCCCAAAATCAGAACAGCGAAACAGCACGGCACGGCCGCGATTTCGGAGCATTTTGGGCGGCCGCGAAAGCGGCCGAATTTTCGCCGGTTTCAGAGCCTGGGAAGCTTTGCAAAAAGCGCCGGCGCGAAAAGTAAAAACGCAAAAAAGCAAAAGCGCGCCAGACGCGCAAAGCCAACCCGCATGCTGAGGGCCCGACTTCCCTTCGCTTTTTGGGCGCCCCCCGTGGCACCCGGATCGGCCCCATAGCATGGGGGCTGGCTTTCGGAAAGGAATATCGGGAATTTGCCAAAATTTGCGACGTTTATAAAGCGGCCGCCATACCGTGCGGCCTAACGTTACTCACGACGGTATGGCGAACCCAGGAAAAGCACAGCCGCGGCCAAAGCGACGGCCGGCAAGAAAACGCCCACGACCTCACTACCTCCGCCCCGGCGGCTATATTTGGTACACCAGTGTTGATCTTTAGACTGCCGTGGTCTTCATGCAAGAGCACTGCAAAACAACTATGACAGGTGATCACCTTCGGCACCTTCGATCTGTTCCATTTGGGTCATTTGCTCATCTTGGAACGCGCCGCGGCTTTCGGTACCCGCCTGATCGTTGGTGTCTCTTCCGACGCGTTGACTCTGAAGAAGAAGGGCAAGAAGCCGATCTTTGACGAGCAGGCCCGCGTCCAGCTCGTGAAGTCCCTGCAATGCGTGTCTGAGGTGTTCATCGAGCACTCCCTCGAGGACAAGCGGCAGTACTGCGTCGAGCATGGGGCGGATATGGCGTTCTCAAACGTTACATTCTCAACTGTTCTTACATGAATATGTGATGCAAGAACTGGAAAAGTGAAAGGCCGGAGCTTGCAAGTCTTGCATTACAAATGCGGCACAGCTTTCCATGCTATTCCTATTTAGCCCTTCCGAAATTTGTCATGCGAAGTAGCTCCACCGTGTGGATGCTGATGCTCATTTGCATGACAAATCGTGTAACAGTTGAGAATGTAACGTTTGAGAGCCCCTCCATAGCGAAGATCTTCATCATGGGGGACGACCACCTGGGTCGGTTCGACAAGATGCTCGAGAACTTACCAAATGCAAAAATGTCTGGGTCTGGAAACTTGTGATGCAAGGAATGGAGTAGTAAGCTCACTGCAATGCGCTGCCAAGCATGACCGGTTTTTTCCATGGTTCTGAGTTGCGTATTCCGCATGAGAAACTGCGTTTTTGCATGACAGGGAGCAGGAGCTACTCGCGGCCACGCAATACAGAGCTCAGAGTCATGCCGGACTAGCATGACAAATCCCGGAATCTCCCAGACCCAGACATATTTGCATTTGATAGAACGTCTGCGAGTGCCACTACTTGCCGCGGACCAAGGGGGTTTCCAGCACCGACATCGAGATCATCCTGCAGTATCCCCCAGAAAAAGACCGGCAGGTCATATTTGTAATGCAAAAATAAATAGACAAAAAAGTCTATATTGCATGCCCTAAACAGCATGCTATGGCCTCGCCCATGGCCATGACAGATTTCCCTGTGTATTTGTTTTTGCATTACAAACAAGGTCATGGCGCGGGGACAGAGTCCCCGCGCTGCGACCTTGCGGCGAAGAAGGGCCACCCGCGGTGGCTTTTCTTGCCCATGATGCGGCAGGGTTTTTTTTTTGCGACAGAACGGGGTGGCTTGGCGCCCGTGGTGCCGGCGCCCCCGTGGAAAAATGCGCCTTTTTCTGCGCCCCTGGGCGGGGCGCGGCCGTCCGGGAGGTTGTTCTCCCGAACCAGGGCGCGCGGGCCTGTTTCTGCGCCCCTGGGTGGGGCGCCCCCCCCCCAAAGGGCTACCCAAGACCAACCGAGGGCGCGGCCTTACCAGGGCGCGCGGACCTGTTTCTGCGCCCCTGGGCGGGGCGCCCCCCCCAAAGGACTACCCACGACCAGCCGAGGGCGCGGCCGTCCTGGAGGTTGTTCTCCCGAACCAGGGCGCGCGGGCCTGTTTCTGCGCCCCTGGGCGGGGCGCCCCCCCAAAGGACTACCCAAGACCAACCGAGGGCGCGGCCTTGCCAG